TGCATACAAGAACTGGGGTATGGGCCAGAGGTGTGAGGAGTGAGAGGATTCACCAGTGGCAGAGTGGGGAGCAGAACAGGCAGATGCACTGAAATACACTACTGAGGGGAGCAGCGTGGGACAGGAGGTCTGCCCTGCCACGTGGGCCATGTCCCTGGCTAGGGATCAAACTTGTGCTGCGGTGGCTGCAGATAGCTTCATAGTGTTGCACTTTTTTTTTTAATATTTCATTTAGTATATTTTTATAATAATATAATAGTTTATTTTTACATCATTTTGTGCCTTTTTCCATCTCAGTTGTAATCCCTGTGGACTTCCCATCACCAAATCGCATAGTGCTGCACTTTAACCCGTTGTGCCACCAGGGAGGGCCCCAGATAAGGATGTTCATACCACAATTGTCTGTCTCTTCCCAAACCCTGCTTATCTTTCTGGGCCCAGCCCCAGTCTCCATGAAGACTTGCAGAGTTATGTCTGTGCGTGCTTTCTGTATTGAGGGAATTCAGGATTGTTAAGGATCCTGGATCATCTATCCCAATTTTCTTGTTTTATGAATAAAGACTCCAGAGCCCAGGGAGATGAGATTTCTGTCAAACCAATACAGATCTCGCAGGGGACCTTAGTTGCTTTGGGTATATTTCATTGCTCCTGGCCACAGTCCTTCCGAGCTCTGAAACTGTACTCTCTGAAGACTGAACTAAGTCTTCCATATTTCATACCTCACCCACGCCCACCTACCTGAGTGCCTGTAAGGGACGCTGGGTCACGTTCTTAGATACTCAGTGAAGACTCTAAATGGACCAGTTGTGAGGGGAGAGGTTAAGGGGCGGTAAATGATAACAGTACACTGTTGCCATCTGCTGGTCATCATGTGTAACTACAGAGAAAAGTCTATGCGGGGTTTTCTGTTAACTTGGATGCAGTCTTGCAGGCTGGCCTGCTTTATGCTGTCTTGCCACACGCAAAGCATTCTGTCCCTCCCAAAGGAAAAGCAATAGCTTTGAAGGCCAAGTAAGTGGCACTGAAGATCATCTACAGTCACACACAAAAAAGGTTTGCACACCACCCACCTTATAGCACCCCAAGACACTGCAGTCCTGAGGCAAAATGAACGCCCTTGGAGCGCACCCTTGGAGGAATCTGACCACTCTGCCATCATTAATCCCCTCTGCCCACTGAGTCAGTCATGAGATGATAGGTGGCACACTTATGCTCACTGTGGGTCAAGGCACAAGCCCCAGATCAAACAGAGAGAAGCTCCATGACATTGACAGGGCCAAGGTCAACAGCCTGAGCGGAACTGATGGGAAAAGCATATGTTTTTCTGGCTGGCAACTACAATGCTTTGGATGTTGCCAACAAGACTGGGATCATATAAACCAGGTGCACTGGCTAACTTTAAATATAAATTTTTCACTATTTAAAAAAAAAACAAAGAGGTACCACTTCACATCTTACTGGATGACGATCACTAAAAAGACAGACAACAACATGTGTTGGCAAGGATACAGAGGAAATGGAATCCTTACACATTGCTGATGAAATGTAAACTGTTGGAGCTGCTGTGAAAATAGTCTGGCGGTTTCTCAAAAGAGTTAAACATAAGAGTTACCATATACCCAGCAGTTTTATCCCTACATATAGACTCAAGAGAAATGAAAATCTGTTCATACAAAAACTTGCACACCAAAGTTGTGGAGATCTGCTGGGCAATCAGTTGCAAATGTGACTTAGTTTCTTTTCTTGGAATAAAACTCAGGTCTTATTGACTAAGCAGGATAATGAACAAGTCACAGCTTTATGAAAAATCTTTATTGAAAAAAATTCTGGTAGCAAATACACTCTCCCACCAGTTCCACGAAGCTTTCTGTTGAGCAAATTCTCTGGGTCTCCACAGAGGGCAGCAGAGCTGTGTGTGGGGTGGGCAGGATGGGGCCGTGTCCGTGAGCTGAAAATGCTATTATCCCAGCTGTTGCTGGGACTGCAGCAAGGAAATGTATTTTTGCACCCATTTTTCCTCTGGCTGTGCACAGACTTTCAGGCCTCTTTTAGTGGTAAAGCTGTGGAAAAGAGACAATCAGTATAGTAGCAAACCCCCTTATCTGCAGTGTTGCTGTTTGTAGTTTCAGTTACCTGTGGTCAAATAAGGATTGCGGAGAGAGAGATGCAGTGAGAGAGAGGACACATTCACATAACTTTTATTATGGTTATGCCTGTTCTACTTCACTATTAGTTATTCATTTGGCAGTTCATTAGCTGTTAATCTCATACTGTGCCTAACGAATCAATGAAACCTTACCGTAGGTATGGTGTATGGGAAAAACAGCCTACACAGGGCTCAGAGCTAGCCATGGCTTCAGGGTTCCACTAGGGGTCTGGATCCCCCATGGGTAAGAGGGAACGACTGTACTGAGCCCTTTTGCCTCCTGGAAAGGGACAGAAAGGCAGGCTCAGTCCCAGGCTTGTCCTCTCACCCCGCCACACTGTCCCTGCTCCTCTCCTGGCCCTGTTCCCGGCTCACCACCACCTGCCCCACTGGAAACCACTCTCCCAGCTCCACCTTTGTGAGGAGACACTTCCCAGTGTCTGGGGATATATATGGTCCACAGCATGCAGCCTGCATAATGCCTGCTAGTGCTTTCGTCCTAATACGACCACTTTATGTAACTCACACACCATAGCACCCACTTAGGGTGTGCAGTTATCACGCAGTGAGTGTGAGAACGTCCACGGATGATACAATCACCACCACTCTCAATTTCCAGACATTTCGTGAGCCCCCAAAAGCACCTCACACCCACCCGCTGTTGCTCTTAATCCCACCATCCCCGGCTGTATCATCCCGCTGAGCTCGTGAAAGCTGGGGGTTGTGGCTGATGTCCCTGAATCTGCTCCAGCCTTGTGCATCCTGAGAGCCAAAGTCGAGGGGTCTTGCGCCTGGGCTACCTCAAAGTGCCCAGCAGTAATTAGGGGAGGAGACAGGGGAGGAGAGTCAAAGGAACAGGGACACAAGGAGAGGTTGTGTGGACATTTCAAAGCAAGGCTGCAGATGTCTGTGGCACCTCAAATTTGTTCAACATAAGGGACTGGTGGGGATGTGGTAAAAAGTGAAGCTAAGGAGGTGGGAGGGTGCGTCAGACACCCCAGAGGAGTCTGCTGTGTTTGATGGGGCCGTGAAGTACCTTGTAAGGAGTCCCACTGCTTGGTGTCCCTAATGTGAGGAAGTCCCCGTTAGCCCCACAGAGACCTGGAAGAGAGAGTAGGGCTGCCAGCCCACCGAAGCTCTGGCATCAGCACCACCAGGCTACCACCCAAGCCAGAACCAGAATGAGAAATACTCACATCACAGCCTTCCGGGAGCAGCTGACCTTCGTGAATTCATACATTTGCACTTTCTTCCAGGGAATTATCCTGTTACTGAACTGAAAGCAGCAGAACTTGGCTACCTCACTGCCACCTAAGAAACAGAGAGCAAGATGTGGAGAGGTCTCTGCTGCCACTGCCAGTCAGCCCAGGAGGGAACGGAGAGGAGCAGCTACTTACGTGTGGAGGCTCCGAGGTGGACACTCAGGACAAGAGCCAAGAGAACAAGTGAGGCCACGGAGAAACTCCTCATGGTGCTGCGAGCCCTTCCCGCCTTCTGCCAAGTTCCTCTGGTCTGAAGCAGTCTCCCTTTTATGAGGCTGAGTGATCCCTGAAGAGAATTCCAGAGAATTTTGTGGTTAATAACAGACCAATGGAAGAGTAACCTGATACCCGAGGATGAGGCTGGGGAGGGAGGGGGGGTTGGGAGGCACATGCCTGTTGAGTCTCTAGCCAGATCTATTACCTCAGTCAACACATTCTTGATTGAAAAGGAAAAGCAGAGGAAATAATTATTCCAGTGAAATGACTTAAGTAACGAGCAATTTATAACCAGGTTGATTGCTGCTGATAGATTTCTGGCCCTGGACCAAAGTTTTCTCTGTTTTTCTTCTGGTGTGGTCTAAACATGGCCCCAGAGCTGCCTGGCCACAGCAGTGGATGGCCAGGACGTCTCCCGGGGCTTGCCCAGCCCACCTCCTTAGTGCCTCGCGGAGCGTCTCCTCTGGTTTCCAGCTGGTTTTGAGAGTGTCAAACCGAACCCAGCGTCACGCTGCCGTGGGGCTTGTGGGGAGGGGAAGGTCACATGCCCTGCCCCTGCTTTGTGCAACCTGGTCAGGGTCTTGGGGGAAAAGACTCAGGAATCTATATTTTAATCAGATTTGTTTAAAATGGGGGAAGCAGATTCTAGAATGGAGCAATGACTTCTTCTCAGAGAGTCCTGGGGTTTTCAAGACAGTTTTCCTGACCTGTGACCCCTCCTTGGCACCCCGATACGCATGTAGGCTTTAAAATTTTGAGTTTAAAGTTAAAAAGCAAAGAGGTCATTAGTCATCTTGAATCACAGAAGTTTTCAGGGCAAGCCAGGACCATAAATGTCATCTAGAACAAGCCTTTAAACACCCCGCCCCCACCCCCGATCACACACTCTGGCCTGGGTGCCGTGACTCACTGTTGAACACTGCTCACCCCAGAGAGCACTGGAGGCACCCAGGTGCTATCTAAACTTTGAGTGAAACCTATAATCCCATTGCTTCTACCCCCTGGCCCAGTTCTACGGAAAGTGTATGATTTCTCTTCATTTGGAAGGTGAGATGTTCCCAGCAGATGTGAAGACCTTTGCTCCCGTCTGAGTCCCCTGGAACAAATCATGAGGCCAGGATCCTGGTGCCCAAGGGACGACTGGGGGAGACACCAGGCAGGGAAGGCAGCAAAGGGTGGGGCCATTACTGAGCAGATGAAGCTCGTTTCCACTAAAGGTGTCTGGGAATTGGTGCAGTTGACCTAACTGAGGGGTGAGGAAGTTGGGGGAATGCCTTCTTTTCAACCCTCACTGTTTGTCCATGAATCAGAGAAAAGGCCCCGAGGGTGTCCCCAGTGAGCAGCCGTTGGCTCACAGAGTGAAGGATGAGGGGTGAGAAGAGGGCCCCAAGGCTCCTGTACATACATTGTCACACTTGCCCCTGAGGAGGTCACGGGCCAAACTCTCCTACACCCCCAGTGTGTCCTACACCATCCTTCTGACCCCCTGACACTCCAGTTTCTGCTTTAATAAACAACTGAAATCTGTTGGGAATCCACAAGTTTCATAAGTGGGACACAAAAACCACTAGCCAGAAGGAACTGATAAATAGGATTCTATTAACAATCCTTTTGGTCGCTAGAAGACAATGAGAGAGCAAAAGGAAGATCTGCAAGGAGAGAGTTTTGCAATGGGCTAACAGGGTCACCAGCCCTGACTCATGACAATGCAGAACTTCAGAATGTAACTTTATCTGCAAAATAGAGTCTTTGCAGCTGTGATTAATTAAGAGATGAGCATACTGGATGAGGGCAGGCCCAGCAGTGCTGTGATTCCTAGTAAGTGTGGTTTGTTCTATATCTTCTGGTTTATCATCCATAATGGCCTTGTAATCTCAAAGCAATGGAAGCCTCTTTGGAGAGCGGCTCCACAATGTGGGAGGTTGGTGCGTGCAGCACAGAACGCGGCGAGAGGAGCGAGGGACGCTTACGCCGGCGCCAGTCTCATGGGGGTGGCAGTGGCTGAGGGTAGTGCCAGCTTCTGTGCTACTCACATCCTTTACCGGACACCCAATCAGGAAGGAACTTGAGGCGCATCTGCAGCACACACATGTTCATGCACAATAGTCTCATAGGAGCATGACATTAGAAAACACTGGGAGCTGAGTCTGTGCTGATTTGTATTCTGACTTTGCAGAACAGGAAGAGAGTAACATTCAACGGGGGGGTACCAGTAATAAAGCTCTTTGAGTTACAAATGCCTTCCTCTCCCGCCTCCCTGGAGGCGCTGTGGGTTAACCTGTGGCTATGAACCTGTCCGCAGCCACTGCAGCTGGGGTTCCATCCCCAGCCAGGGAGCTGACCCGCATGGCGCGGCAGATCTCTCCTGCCTGCCCACTGCTCCCCTCAGCAGTGTGCTTGTCAGTCGGCCTGTTCTGCTCCCCACTCGGTCTCTGGTGAAGCCTCTCACCGCCCCTGCACCTCTGGATTGAATCCCAGTTCTATAGCATAAATGAATCTTTTTTTTTAAGATTTATTTACTTATTCGTACAGAACTGGGGTAGTACAGGCAAGAGATGCGGAGGGTGAGAGGATTCACCAGAGACAGAGTGGGGAGCAGAATAGGCAGATCGATGAAGTACACTGCTGAGGGAGCAGCGGGCGGGTCAGGAGAGATCTGCCGCACCAGGTGATCACCTCCTGGGCAGGCGGGGATCGAAATCAGGCGGAAGCGGCTTTAGATTCTCAGTGCTGTGCTTTAACCCGCTGCGCCACCAGGGAGGGCCCTAAATGAATCTTTAAAAAAAAAAAAAAAAGAAAAGAAATGTCTTTCTCTCCCTCTGTCCTCACTACATGCCAAACCCCTTTCAACCACACCTGAGTCGATGTTGGTGAGGTGAGTTTTGGAAACCCCTCAGGAACCGGATGGTGGGGCCATAGCAGGGAAACCCACCTTGTGTCAGAGGGTTGGCATTTTCAGCCTCCCCCTTACCTCTGCGGAGGGGAGAAGGGCTGGAGGGCGAATTCGTCTCCAATGGCCAGTGAGTCAGTTGGTCATGTCTAGGCAGTTGGACTGCTCTCGGGTCCCTAAATAACAAGATTCAGAGAGTTTGTGGGTTGGTGAACATGTGGAAGTGCCAGAGCGGTGGGTGGCATCTCAGCGAGCCTGTGACCCTCCCCAAGCCTTTCTCTAGCTCTTCCATAGAGCGTTATCCTTTTGTCATGAATCAATAGTCTAATAAATAAATCTAGTTTTATTTTATGAGTTCTGTCAGCCACTGACAAATAACTGATCCCAAGGGTGGGTCAAGGACACCTCTGATCTACTGCCAGTCGGTCAGAAGCACCGGCAAGGATCTGGACTTGCGGGTAGCAGCTGAAGGGGGTCCGTGGGCCCCGTAGGGGACTGAGCCCCTGCCCTCGGGATCTGATGCTGCTGCCCCTGGAGAGGTAGTGCCAGGCTCAGTTACTTGTTGGGTGCTCGGCTGGTGTTCAGAGAATTGCTTACTGTGAGGAAAACCCTCCCTCATCTGACATCAGAAGCCAAGTACTGAGAGTAGAGTGTCGTCATGAGTGGAGAGAAACAGAAGAGTCTTATTTCTCATTTAGCTGAATGCCCAGCAACTGGTGTCCTTAGAAGAAGGCATTATGAGGAGACAGAGACGCCGGGGAGAGGGCCACGTGAGGATGGAGGCAGAGATTAGAGGGTGGTGGCTGCCAGCCCATGACTGCCAAGGAGAGCTGGCAGCCACCAGACAGGGACAAGAAGGAATCTTCTCTAGAGGCTGCAGAGGGAGCCTTGACTTTGGAATTCTAGCCCTCAGCGATGAGAGAACAAATTTCTGTCACTCATGGTCATCGGTTACAGAAAAAGAAACGAATGATGGGCCCTCCCTGGTGGCACAGCGGGTTGGAGGGCTGCACTGCAAAGCTAAGCCAAGCTGTGGCCACTTCAGCGCGAGTTCGACCCCCAGCCAGGGAGCTGACCCACATGGTGCAGCAGACCTCTCCTGTCTCGTGTGCTGCTCCCCTCAGCTGTGTACTCTGTCCATCTGCCTGTTCTGCTCCCCACTGTTTCTGGTGATTCCTCTTGCCACCTCTGTACCTCTGGCCTGAATCCCATTTCTGCATGCATAAATCAATAAATCTTTTTTAAAAAAAGAATTTAAGAATCCATCTAAAAAAAAAAAGAAGAAACGAATGCACCAATGCATCTGTAAAATAGATATTTAATAGATATTCGAAGATGTAATAAGCACTGTAAGTCCAGAAGAAACCGACACAGAAAAATGGCCAAAACTGAATCACTTTATGAAGAGTAACGATGAATAGTAGTGAGAAAAACTCGATTCTCTTAGTGATCAGAGAAACCCAAATCTAGACTACAGTGTGCTTTGTGCTCTGAGCCCACCAGAGTGACTAACCTGAAAAGTTGGCAGATACCAGATCTGGTCCACTGGAGACACACACCGCTGAAGGGCAGAAAATGCTGGAAGGTACTTACGGAAGCAGAGTGGGTACCCCATAACCCAGCACTCCCTGACTCTAACTCACCAAGCGTGTGACCTGTGTTCGCCAAAAGGAGCTATAGGTAATAACCTCAAACCAGAAACTTCCCCAAACAGCCGTCAACAGTAGATCTGGAGCAAGTCATGGCTAACAAACATTAGGCAACACGAGGAGCACGAACTGTGACTCCATGACCCTGTCACTGCATCACCCCATCATTGCGTCTCATGGCCAAAAGCTGGGGGAGCCAAGTCAGATGTGAAAGGGCTGGAGCATGTGCAAACAGGGCTTCGAGCAGCACTGAGCCCTTGACCCGGCCTGGAAGGGGGGCTGGGGTGGGGCGGCGGGGCTCTGTGAGTGTGTGGGGTGGGGTGAGCTGGTCCTTTACTGGGTACTGGAGCCCCCTCATCCTTGGGAAAATTTATTGAAACGTGTTCTTAGGATGTGTGTGCTTCATTACTTGTAGGTAAAACTATACAACTTCACAATAAACTAGTGAAAGGGAAGGAAAGGATAT